ACGGTGTTCTCAGGCTTGGGGCCTCCTAGAGTTCTTTTCTGGCCTTGTTGGTGGGAGAAGCGTAAAGAGGCGTGGACAGGCCACCCACTTGCAGCCTCGGGACCCACCGCAAGCGGCCTCGGAGGAAAGGGCGGCGGCGTGCAGCCGGGCCACTGGGTCATCCTCTGCGGACTGAGACTTGCCACTGAAAGGTGGGTTCCTGATTTGTCGCTGGAGACCCCCATTAAGATTGAAGATGAGGGTTTTCTTCCAGTTGCAAGTGAGGGTAGACAATGCCCTCCGCTCCCACCCCCTGATTAAAAATCAAAACAAAACCTCCCAGCCCTGGGCCTCTTGCAGGCCAGAAAGCTACGGGTAGGTTTCAGTCCCACTTCTCCTCTCTACCAGAGCTTCACTTAGAGACCAGGGACCTTTACAAAGGGGCCCGGAGAGTCAGTCCACCTTCTCACCTGCGGTTCCGGGCCCGCGCCCGCCGGGATCCAACCCCGCCTGCAGAGGCCGCTTCTTCCCGGCCGTGCGCGCGGAGCTCTCGACGCGGCTTTGAGCCTCCCGCCGTCGCAGCCTCAGTAGAATCTCCTCTCGGTTTGGAAAACCTCGCGGGGATCCTGGAGTTGTCCAAGGACCCACCTGCGGCGAGGGTCCCCGCGCGGCGCTGGGCCTGGAGCGCAGCGTCCTCCTGACTCTGGTTCCGGAACTGGGCCGCTGGGGCACTTCGGGGGCATTTCCCTTCCACGCGGATACAGACTGGCAGTTTGAGAGAGAGAGAGAGAGAGAGAGAGAGAGAGAGAGAGAGAGAAGCCTCTGTAACCGGGTCTCCTCACTCTTCCTTGTTGAGCACCCTACACCCCCATCCCAAGTTTCCGGACTTTCTTGGGGAGGGGAGACCCGAAAGGCCCGGAGGTCCTGAGAGCGCTGGGATCTCATCGCCCACCCTTCCCGCCTCGTAGCAGGGTTTGCCGAGACTTCCTGGGCGTGGGAGCTCCAAAGAAAGTCTCTGCCCGGCTCTTTCTCTCCTTTTCCTGGTCCTCAAAAGCCCCTGTCGTCGTGGCCGGGGAACTTGCTCAACTCCAGTACCCTCGGACTTGTCCCCCATTTCCCGCTTTGGAACCGTTGTGGACCTCATCTTTGCAACTGGGCAAGAGTTTTCGCCCCCGCGGCTAAACCCGGAGTGTTTACGGGAAAGTGCTACGGAGACCACTCTAGGTGCCAGACGTCGACGGCTTCCCAGGCTGAGGTCGTCGCGAGCTCAGGGTGCAGGCAGCTAGACTCCGGCAGCAGCGCGCAGCTCAACTCGCTTCCGCAGAAGCTTTTACTCACCGAGTCCGCAGTCGGAGCGCCCCGCGAAGCTCCAAGCCTTGTGCAAGCAGGCCCACCTGCCAAGGTGCCACCCAAGGTAACACCGCAGGCCACGCTGTCCGTGTGTCCTGACCAGCACATACTTCTTGCACCTTGAGATACTACATTTTAATAATGAAATTCCCAGCCCCCCCCCCCCCCCCAAAAAAAAGAATTGCTCAGATCACTTCTCAGCTAAGGTCATTCCTAGTATGGCATTTAGTCCTGGAGAGATCCTTTTGGAAAGGATGTTGAAGTCACTTCTCCCAGAAGTTGTCTCTAGTGGTGTAATAAAGGCATAACTAGCGTATTGCTTTCTGTTCTTGGTGACTGGGGCGTCTTGCAAAGTCTTCACCAAAACAATGGTAGAAACAAACCAAACTTACATCAGAACACCCACGGGCATTTCAGGACTTCAGCTGTACACTAGCAAAGCTTCCTTTAAAGCAAAACAAACTGGCTGCCCCACTCTCCCCCTCCCCCAAGGGTAATTAGTATCAATTTTCCGTAGTTCTAACCCATCTTTAAGTGAATATGCAGATAACTTCAAATAGACAATTTAAAAAGTAGTTAACTGGGGCCTAGGGACCCCTGTAACACATCATAAAATGATTTTAAGGAATTTCATTATCTCAGAATTCAGGTAGCAAACTATTTTAAATGAGCCACAGCCTCCCTAACCTTAGGCCATTGAAGTAGTTGTTATTTCTTAGAGAAAATACTTCTTAAATATTTTTAAAATCCTCACTTGGCTCTTCCGCCCTGAGTTAAGATTTTCCTCATTTCTAGGAAAGCAGAGAGGATGGTACTCTATGGCCTAAAAATTTACACACTGGAGCTAGTGCTAATCAACCTAAAACTGATCAGAACGGTAAACTAATACCTAGTTCGAAAGAGAAAAATACATTTCTTTACTGTTGAACTTTTCAGAAATGATGACCTGGTCTTACCATCTGCTTATTCAGGGTGTTATTATATGGACTTGGTCCCTGCATTCCAGCATGTGAAGGCATTTATTCTAAATGAATTTATAAATGGACACTTTTTCTAAGAATTTATCATAAATACACTTTGCCAACGAGAGGGATATTTCCTGGTGCTTTGTCTCCTCTGCTGTTAGCCCTCATTGCAGGAGCGACTCTTGTTTTATTAAAGTGGATGCAGGAGAGGCCAGTAAAATGAAAGGATAAGGGAAATTTCATCAAGGACATATGAGCTAAGTGCATTGGAGGCCCAAATTCAATTGTCTGATTCTTTCCACACATTTCAGGGTTTGGCAATTTATGCACAAAACATTATGGTGTACACTTATTATTTTTCAGTTCTTATCCAAAAGGGTTTCTGTCCTAGAAAGGATTTTAAAGGTATTCAAGGGCAGTGATTAAATGAAATAAAAAATTGTTCAGTGATAAGCTAAGCACAAGAAAATGTTTTGTTAAGTAGTAATTTTGGCGTACATCTTGTCCAGTATAGTTAAATTATTCTTGCTTCTATTTTCTGTTATCTATGTGTGCTCCCGTATTCATTCTCTCTCTCTCTCTCTCTCTCTCTCTCTCTCTCTCTCTCTCTCTCTCTCCCTCCCTCCCTCCTTGCTGGTGGTGATGGAGACAGCAGAGCCAGACTGCATTTTTACATTTCAGTGTGGACTGAAATATCAACATAACAAATTTCAGCTCCCATCCAAATTGATGTTCTGTACATGCAGGGGACTTTTCCCCACTTATATAAAACAGCAATCACCGAGTGGTATGAGATTCACAAAGGCTAATTCAATAACCAAGTACATGAATTGAAGAGAATCCTTCAAAGATCTTAGAGGATCTAGAGGAGATTCCAAAGCCATTGTGATATATAAATCAACTACAATAATTTAATATTAATGACCAATGCTACTTCCCATCTAATATTTTATTTTTAAAGCAGTTAATCGTCATTCATTCAGTTGATCTTTTAACAACTTATAAAGTGAGGATATCTGCAATAATGTGTCACAAGAGAAACTGTCATAATCTTTTACAGATAGCTCTCCTGCTTGTTTAATGGTATTTGTTTATCTATAGGTTTCCAAAGCACCAAGCATAATGCAGGTAGTATGTATTCAGTTAATGTTGATGGATTAAATTGATTTGTCTTTTGTTTTGAATGCTTTATATTCAATGGCTCACTTGGCCTATCCAGCCATCCTCTGAGCTAGTATGCCACTTTTTAAAGACAAGGAACACTAACATCTGTTCAATAATAAATAGTGAATACTGAACTAAAATCTATGTCTCTCTTTTCTCAACGTACTAGAGGAAGAGAAAGAGAGAGGCAGAGAAAATATAAAGCTTCATTCATTACATATGTCTCCTTGTTTCCTAGTTTTTACAGCACTACAGGAAAATAACAATTGCTACCATGACAGATTGCTAACATGACAAATGCTAAGGTATATAAATTTTACAACTTCCATTCTCAGCTGATAATAATTGACTTTGTATCAATCACAAGTTTGCTTCAATTATTTTATATATAGTCATTTATGTAAAATTCTTGAGAAATGATTGGATGAAATATACAGAGATAAAAATAAAGTTGTAAAAATATGTACCTAATTATCAATAGAGGAATAGGTTTGAAAGAATAATTATATAGACACTTTGGAGCAAATGTCATATCAAAATATTATTATACTTAATACAGCATTCTATATATTTCAGGAATGTAAATTAATAATAGAAATTTTACCAACAGCTTGTTATTTGGTCACTTAATAAGATTTTTATGGAAATAAAAATATGGTATATCTTGGAGAGTCAAAGTATTATATAAGAAAAAATTAAGATGATCCCTACAAAGTTAAAGCATGTGGCTTTCTTATTTTAATTCTAACTGCCCATGTGACATTTAGGAAGGTCATTTAATTTCCCTGAGCTTTAGTTTTGAGTTATGTACAACCACAGTGAGGTTTATCTTCTCTTGCCTACCTTCTAAAGTTGTAAGAGGATCAAATTTGACAATGCACATGAAAATACTTTGTAATTTGCCCCTTAATATGACATTATTTTATGACCTTATATTACTGATTATTCACATAGGAAGATCCTCTAAGAAATAAAATATTTGGAGATCACTACACCAGCATATCTGTTGCTGAAATAACTGTATTCTGATTCTGATTTATGGAGGAAAAAAAAAAAAGGTTAGCTACCAAGAAAGTAAATATAGGAATTAGCTCAGTAGTATTTGTTTTTCTGTCCCACTAGAGGCTGAGGAGTTATATCAGTGTGAGTGTGTGTGTAGCTGTGTGTTTACATAACTTTGAGACATTACTGTTTTAAGAGACCCTAGATAACTCTCACAAACTTGAGGTTCACTTACATTCCTCTTGGCAGAGTAATCACCATATAATGAGTAAGGGTAGATAGTTGACCCTAGAGTTCAGAGTCCTCATGCAACGGGAGAGCAAGACTCACAGAAAGTAAGCCCAAATGTATATACTGCATTGACTGATGGCCTCATGTGGGGAGGCGTCAATTTAACTTTAAGCCCCTGAGCTCAGCAGGGGATGTCTCCCAGTGCAGGAAACTGTTGCCATAGCATTTTCCTTCTCTATTCCTGCCTACTCCTCCACCCCCCCCCCCAAACATCAACAATTTGTGCTCTGCCGTTTTCTTTCAGAAGCCAGATGCATTTTCAGAAGCCGGGACTCCAGTGATATGATTGTGCTATCTACACCACCTAATAACTGTTCTTGGTATGGATATGGAATAAGTCCATTAAGTTTCTCAGGACAGAATCATCTTTGCGGATGCAATTGCCAAATAATAAGCAGACTCAGAGAGAATTTTAGCCCCCCATCCCCCCAAAAATCTCATTGGCCTTCTGCACAATCCAAGCCACAATCACTCCTACAACACAACCTATCCCTTTCAGCACTCGCAGCCGTGGACAGCTCCCTCGCAGCGCGGTTCATTCCTCTGCAGTGAGCTGACTCGTTCTCCGCCTGCATCGGTCGGTGCGGCACCCGACACCAAGTCCTCGCCAGCGCTCACAAAACACGCGCTCCCTCCCTCCTCCCTCTCGGCGCCCCCGCCCCCGGCTCACCCCGGCTCACTGCAGCAGCGACTTTAAGGGATTCCCTCTCAGACGGCCTCTGCAGCAGCACATCTGGCCTCATTCGCTGCAAGGCAAGCATGGATCTCCGAGGAAGAGCCGTTTTCAGCTTGAATAGACTTCGAGTTCTCCTAATGCTGTTTCGTGAGTAACGTTTAGGCTACTGCGAAGACCGAGTACACTCCTTATGGAGAATGTTGAGCCAGCATAGTAAAGTCAGTAGCTTAAGATGTGGCCCTTAACATTTTGCGGATTTTTTTTTTCTTTTTGGGGGGTGTGGAGTGGGGGTTGGAGTGGAGGGAGTGGGCGGGGGCCCTCCCTGCTAGTGACGAGGAATTCCCCAGAGAAGTACACACCTGTATGCCATATCCCAGACAGAGTGCTATACGAACCTGCTTCGTGAGGTCAAAGCACTGGCAAGAAAAATTTAGTTTAAAATCCGCAAATAAAGAAGAAGACCAGTCGGGTTATAACTTATTAGCGGCTTAATTTTTAATTTTATTTTTTTAATTATAAATTAACAGCAACGGAGTTGGATTTGTTGGCGCTAGGTTAGAGAAGTGGCCCGCAGAGCGCACAGCAGTGGTCAGGGAAGTTTGTGACCCCAGAGCCCGCAGACCAGTCTCCAACCATTTATTTGCCCATGACGCGTGGGCGACCTGAGCCCGGAACCGATAGGATTTTTTCCACCCCCGCAGATACAATGGCTCGAATCATGGCAGAACAAGAAGTGGAAAATCTTTCTGGCCTTTCCACTAACCCTGAAAAAGATATATTTGTGGTGCGGGAAAATGGGACGACATGTCTCATGGCAGAGTTTGCAGCCAAATTTATTGTCCCTTATGATGTGTGGGCCAGCAATTATGTCGATGTAAGGAATCTTTTCCCTCCCAGCTTGCTCCTAGGGCTCCAGGGGCGAAGGGCACCGACCCTGAAGGCCCTATGAAGACCTGGGTCGCCCGCCTTGCCCCCTTAGCCCCTGCAGGCTGCTCCCGAATGCTGCATGGGGGTTCCAGCTTGTACTGCCTTCTGCTCGCCCTGCCTGCTTTGAAAGTAATCCCCCTCTTTCTGCTTCCCTAACGGCGGGGTCTGCACGTAGAGCATCTAACCGCATGTTCCCGGACCTGGGAGCACCGGCGCAAAGGAGCGCCCAGGCGTGCAACCCGGAGTATGGACGCGCCGCCCTTTACAGCCCCCACTGGGGCCTGGCGCGCTGAGGGGGTGCGGGGCGTCTGTGTTCCCAGCTGATCACGGAACAGGCTGATATATCACTGACCCGGGGTGCTGAAGTGAACGGCCGCTGTGGCCACAATGAGTCGGAGCTGCAGGTGTTCTGGGTGGACCGCGCGTACACGCTCAAACTGCTGTTTGTAAAGGTAAATCGGAGTGGGGACGCAGACTCCCAAGAGGGTGTGGGCAGGGGCTGCCCCTCGGTTTCTCCACCCAGAAGCCAAAGGGGCAGTTGATGCGCGCCTCCCCTTCTCGACAGGAAAGTCACAACACCTCCAAGGGACCCGAGGCGACGTGGAGGCTGAGCAAGGTCCAGTTTATCTACGACTCCTCGGAGAAGACCCATTTTAAAGACGCAGTCAGAGGTGAGTAGAGATCAGCAGGGCTGGAGAGGGAGCCTGGGAAAGCGCGACACTGAAGAAGCACAGGCGTGGAGGGCGAATTCCTCAGGAAATTCGGAAATTTTCTGGAAACCGGTCGGGCTTTGCGCTCCCAGGCCAAATCCGCCCTGGCTCAGAGGAAGCGGAAGCTCCAGTGGGTCCTCTGGACCTCAGGCCTCGTAGATGCGCAAGGAACCAGAGCAGAGTACCGGCCCCTCACCCCTGGCCTGAAGCCGGTTTGTCTCTTGTGGGGGCCTGACTTCCCCTGGCTGCTTCAGGACGACCTCTTATGATCTGTCCTTGAGAAAGGCGCAGAGAAGGACAAAGCTGTATGTTTTTTCTGGGCCTTGGTTTTTCTGAGCTAAAACTTGAAGGGGGCAGTATGAATCTCCTTTCAGGTCAGGATTTGATGGTCTTAAGTATCTTTTTGCCATGGCAGCAGGACTCCCACGCTGTCTTCAGTCATCCACTGAAGCCACCCCAGAGTGCATTCAGAACCGTGGCCTAATTTATAGCTGTTTCTGCCCATCATTTTGACAACTCACCCAGATTCTCCAAAAATATCGTGGCCAGAGGGATGTCCGTTCCCCAAATAGCAATGTTTGCATTTGCAGGCACTGTCAAAGACCACATTTAAATGTATTTATTTTGTAAATTGTCTAATCTACTCATAATGAGGCCTTGCAGATCACCTGAACACCTGAGTTGGGCAAATATTTTTATTAAACACATGAAAGAATACACACGCCAACTTTCCCTTCTCACCCCTTTTATCATCACAGTAAAAAAAGGTGTTTTCTTCCCTTCATCAAAATTCACATTCAAATAATTGTATCTCTGTCTCACTTTCTAAAACACAAAAAGGACATTTGTGGGTTTGTTTTCTGATTCCTAAGAGCCTTTTGCAAGTTCTGATGAACTACAATGAACTATGACATAAATAATCAAAGTCATATTCTCAGAGGCACTAAAAATTCAGTTTGGACTTCTGTGCAATTGCTGTTTGGTTGACTTTGAGGGTTTAGACTCAATAGCATGGAGTTGTCTCTACGATTGAATATTGCCTTGCATTTGTTCTCACCTAAGCTATGTGTGATACTTGATCAAGAACTGCCCATTCAAATATTTTATATGTAAGAATAAGTGTTGTAATCTTAGGTTACTCTCAGTTTAACTTAAAAATTTTTTTCATCCATATTGTTGACAGAGATTTGCATGTATTAATAAAAGGGAGGCCTATTTTGAAGTGACAAAAAAAAAATTCACATTCAAGCATTTGCCCAGGGCATCTGCCCAGGACACCAGAAATCAAATATGCTTTGTTGAGAAAGACATTTTATTCTTTGGGGACCAGTGTGAAGTGCAGAAAACCAAGTAATTGTTCTGGATCTTTAGTATCTCTGTTGTTAGGTTTTATAGAGTAAAAACGGTTGGGTTTTTAGATATCATGCTCCTCTCCTAACAGAAATTCCAAAATTTCCCCAAATTCCAAATTAATGTTTAAGGAGTTACTTACTCATGAAGGAATGGGTGTATTTGACACCACTAATGCCACAGGCAGAGCCCCAGCCCTGGCAAGTTGACATGGCCTGGCCACACAGACTGTAGAAGGGGTTCTGGAGCTGGGAGGCAAGAACCAACTCTCTGGCTGGGAGCTTAGGAGCAAGGGGGGTTCTGCCAATGAGAGGAACCTAACCATTGCTTTGGGTCTTCCCTGCAGCCGGGAAGCATACAGCCAACTCTCATCACCTCTCTGCCTTGGTCACCCCAGCCGGAATGTCCTATGAGTGTCAAGCTCAGCAGAGCATTTCACTTGCCTCCAGTGATCCGCAGAAGACAGTCACCATGATCCTGTCTGCAGTCCACATCCAGCCCTTTGACATCATCTCTGATTTTGTCTTCAGTGAAGGTAGGTTAGTGGGGGTGGTGCTGGGAGGAGAAAGGGAGGCAGGAGGGAAAAGGAAGGCTGACCTCGGGATGGATGTGGAAGGGGACCTGCCTAGGTTCCAGGCTGCTGCCACTTGGATTTCCTCTAGGCTGACATGACACTACCTCCTCTGTAATATTTTTCAAAGACTAAAGATAGTAAACTGAATCATACCAACTTTCTTCAATGACTCTTTCTTTTCCCCCTCTTCTTCCTCCTTCATTCTTCCCTCTCTTCCTTTATTTCTTTATCTTTCCCTTTCTCCCTCCCTTCTTTTGCCAAAGAGGAACCTTGATAGGAAGAGAGGTGAGAAAGGCAGCTTGGAAAAAATATATAATTTTGGCTTAAACCTTTCAATAAAAAAGCGCTAAACATCTCAGGTATTTACTTAGACAACCATAGATCGGAGAAGAGCCTTTGCTTCTGTGGGCCTCAGTTTCTCCATGTTCTCACACACACTTCCAGCTGTAGGTTCTATGACTGTGAGTTCAAGTTTTTGTGTGGCTAGCATGCTATAGGTGTGTGTGTGTGTGTGTGTGTGTGTGTGTGTGTAGGTCACAAAAATCACAGAGAGATAATTATGAAGACCTGTCTCCATCCAGCACTCACTGTGTGGGAGGGATACCCACAGGCTCTGGGGGGCCATGAGTCCTTGATCTGCTCACTCTGGGTTGTGGGGGAAATGCTTCTTCCCAGTCTGTGCTAGCCCCTGGAAGGGGATCAGAAAGGTTCAGGGCATCCCCATTCTCTTGGTTCTCTGCCTCCCAGTAGAGGTAGGGCGTGAAGGGAGTTCACCTTTCTGCAATTTGTCCAAATCTAGCAACAATTTACCCTGGGCCAATGTAGGTTAAGTGAATTCTTCAATTCATTTATTCTCTGTCTCTTGTCTGGGGAGGTTGTTAAAGACAGTTTCATAATCTGTTGACTCCTTGTGGTTAAAAAAAAAAAAATGGGGAGAGATTCTGATTGTTTTATGCCTTCCATTGGGTGGGGACTCCCAAGGTGAATACAACTATTCCAATGGTCAGGATATTAGAGAGTGCCCATCTGTGTCACACATAAATCATTGTGATTTCCCAAGGAGTCCAACTTTCATAAAATGCCCCTACCACTCAAACTCTAGTGAATAGACTCCCTCCCCCCACCGCCACCACCATGTGGTCATTTGAAAGCATTGAGAATCCCTGTATTCTTGAGAGAAGGGCCAGCTTCTTTTTCATCCTCGTATGGTTAGCACCTAATGCAATGCTTGGCACATTGCAGATGTCCAGTTAACTTTGGCTGAATTGATATGCTGAAACTTGAACTCAATTAATAGAGACTTCTAAATGCTTCAGTGCCGGGCAAATCAGAATTTAATTGATGTAGTAAAGCGGTGCCACACTTAACTGTTCTTGTGGAAGGATGGGCTATTCCATTTTAATGTATTTTCTACAAAACTGAAACTAAACTCTGTGTCAAGACCTTAACATTTTTAAAAGCTCTGTTGGATTACAGAAATATCTATACATGCAATAATGTCTTGCTTAAACTGATAATATTAAATATAATTAAATGTAATTGGACTGGTGATTATTGATGTCCAGGAATCTATGATAAAAATATTGGATTGTGTAGTATCAGTGCCCCGGGTACCTAGCATGGATACTCAAAGTTTCTATGGGTCCTTTCAATGGCCTCTGGTGCCTTTTTGTTTTTTGCTTGTCTGTTGCTCTCAGGCGCGTCTTTACTTCTTGATACTGCTGGTGCTGTAATTGCTGCTTTTACTGGTCTCTGACCACAACCTTGCCCTAACCCGCTCTGGGTTACTTCTCAGTCATTGCTTACAGTCATTCATGGACTGAAAAATCAAATCTCATGGATGTTTAGAATTGTGTACAATGTAAGAGTAAATGAATTCTGCATAAGGACTAGAGCGACTTTCCTAAAAATCGCTGAAGTTCTTGGCATGGGTGTAATGACATCTTCTGTTTGACAAGCAGTCTTTTACTCACTTCCAGGTCTGCGATGGCATGATAGTCTTAGAGAGTTTGGAAGCATATATATAATTTCCGAAGTGGAAGCGCAGATGTCTTAAGCACAAGCAAATTGCGCCTGTGTCACCCAGGCGTTTCTGGGTAATGATTAGGATGTTCCTTTCTGCCCAGTGCCCTGGGGTTTAAGCCTTGACGCTCCAGGAAGCAGGCAAGCCCCACTCAGTCACTCAGGCGGTCGATGTGCCTTGTGTGGTAGGGCTCCCTTTGTTCCTGGCTCCTCTGGTCTGAGCCTCTCAGCACCTGACCCCCACTGTGTTTCGTAAGAGATCATTTCATTTAATTTGCTGGAATTCAAAAGATTTCTTTGGTCCCCCATTCCCCAGAATAGAGGCTCAGGAGGCCCTAGATGTGTTGCGGATGTCTGTATGGGTGTGAGTGGAACATGCCTCCGTGTGTGTATGTGTGTGTGTGTGTGTGTGTGTGTACGCATGTGGAGGGGCATCTGGCCATATATTGGTATGCCCATTGCAGGAGTGTGTACACACAGTTGGTTAGGTGTGTGCAGGGTTTCTATGAAGAATGTTTTCCCTGTGCAAGGGGACGTACCTGGCAGCCTGCAGCTTCACACCTGCCTGCTTCATAGAATGAGAACAACAAGGAAGGGGCAGTGAAATGGATTAGTGAACACTCACAGAGCTTCTCTCCGCCCAAATGGGGGTTGACATCTTTGTCACACAAATCCCTTTTGAGTACTGAGCTTGGTTACTACACCAGTGCCCAAGGAAATTCTCCTAGCCCAGCGTGTCTCCAGCTGCAGTGTGCACAGCCGTCTGCTGCAGTGTGTACAACTGTGTGAGCCTGTGAACAGGCGGGGTCTGGCTCAGCAGGTCTGGGGGCAAGGCCCAAGGGGCTTCGTTTCTAGCAAGCTCCTGGTGATGTCCTGGTCTGTGGAATACTGTGGAAAAGATACGACCATGAGAGGCCGTAACACACAAGCTTTATTGGGTTGTACTTGGACCGAGTTGCATGAGCAGGGAAGCCCCTCACAGCATGGGACTGTCCAGAGGGAGGCACCTCATGGATCACCATCCAGAGGGGAAGAAGAACAAGGAACTGCTGGAGGAGGAGGAGGATTGGAGAGAGGGCTTCCCTGCCTAGGCGATGTCTGTCACTTGGCAGCACAGTGAGGAGTCTCTGGGTCAGAGAGCTTTGAGGGACAGCACAGAGGCTCTGGGCCTTATAAGTACAAGGCCCTGTCTTATCAATGGGGAACAGCTGTTGGTTGAAGTTTGTTATGCAGAGCAGGCAGGCTCTAAATGGCTGAAAATCTGTTCGGGCTCTTTTAAAAATAATTGGATGTGTAAAAATTTGAGTTTGGCGCTAGGGGGCTTCTCCACTAATGGGTCTCAGTGTTCAGTGAAGAAATAACCCACCCGGGGGCCAATACACAGAGGCAAGTTGGCTCATTTCCATAACAAATACGTTTTGTGTGTCATCTGCCCTGCAGCTCCAGGCACCCTGTGGCTCAGTGGGAGGGTTAACTTGTCCTCCCACAGCCCATTCCTGTGTGTCCCTTTGAGGGCCCAGGACATTGCTGTTTGGGACAGGGTGGGGAGGCAGCACTGGGAGGGGACACATCAGCCCGAGTATGGCAATGGCCTGAATTAAAGGCAACTTCTATGCATGATCACCGAAGAAACCATAGAACAGGAAGGGTGCCTCCGTTCCTCTTTATTAAAGAGTCAGGTTTTGCGGGCATTTAAAAGTTACCACAGATAGACTGGTCACTTTTTAATCCCCAAGGAGGAAAAGTGAATAAACCAACCCAGAAGTGACTGAGATCCTCGCTGACAGTGGGGAAAGTGGGGCTCGGAGAAGGCAAGTTATGGGTGCAGGCGGCTCGCCTACGGCTGCCAGGGCTGGTGCCAGACCGTCTTTGGGCGTCAGATCCTGTGGTCGTCACCTCTCGGGGCCTCAGCTACTTCTGCTGGGCAACGATCATCGACATGTGGAGGCAGGAGGCACATTGAGGAAGGTTTTCGGGTACCCCAAACTCGCGAACTCTTTGTCATGGCTGCTCGCAGCATGATTGGGAGAGGCCGCCTGACCTGCACTGTACCCAGAGCTGTGGGGCAGTGATTTGTGTCCCAGGGGGAATGAGGGCGCCTCCCCTTTCCCTGTACGCCATCGCAGCAGGTGCCCTGTGGCTCGGTGCCATGCCACCAACACAGGAAGGGTCTGCTGACGCTGATCCAGACGGGTGTGTAGGCCTGTGACTGACTGGGCACTTTCCTGTCAAGAAACATGTCACGCTGGGTAGTTGCTCCTCAGGAGCTCTTGTAGAAGCATGCAGAGGGAGATAATTCAATTTTATTATTATTTTTTATCTTCACCCGAGGATATATTTGCATTTATCTTCAGATAGAGCTGGAGGGAGAGCAGGAAAAAGAGAGAGAGAGAGAAGCATCGAGGTAAGAGAGACACATCGATTGGTTGCCACCTACACAACCCCAACCAGGGCCAGGGACGAACCACAACCAAGGTACGTACCCTCGGCCAGAATCGAACCCAGGACTCTTTGGTCCGCGGGCATCGCTCTTACTGCTGAGCCAAACCTGCCAGGGTGAGATAATTCAATTATTAACACTGATGAGAACTGTGCTGAAGGCCAGAATATGGAGCCCCGGGGGAGGGCCACGCTGCTGGTCAGTCTTAGAAGTCTGTGTTCCCCGTATCATCCTGGAACATAGTGTTTTAGTTGGGCTCCCCAGAAACTGATCCTAAGGGAGTGTGTGAGTGCAAGTAGTGTAGTTAGTAGATGACCCTAGAAAGACTGGTAGGAATTGGGGAAGTGAGACAGGAAGGCAAGGCAGTCAGCACAGGTGTACTGATGAGCAGGTTACTCCTGTGGGCACCCGGGGTCACGCTGCTGGAACCCTGGGAGAGGCTACAGAACCTGCCTCATGTCCTGGCCAGTTTGGCTCGGCGGTTAGAGCATCGGCCTGT